TTTTTTTTTTTTTTTTTTTTTCCATCCATTTTACGTATCGTTTTCGCTTTTTCTTTTTTTTTTTTTTTCTTTTTTTTCCTGTTCGTATTTTTTCAGTGATTGTTGTTGTTTTTCTTTTTTTTCTCTCTCTCTTTGTTTGTTTTTGTTCATTCTTAACGATCTCTCACCTGCCCTCTTTCGCAGAACTGTAGGCGTATCGGCAAGCGTGGAAAAATAATTAATGGGAAACGGTAAGTGCGATGCGGACGCGGGAGCGTCAGTTAAAAAATAATGAAAACGGGAAAAACCATCGATTTAACGAGCTTGCACACTCTTTACCTGACAACGTTCGTTTGGGAATTCGGCGTGGTGCTCGCCGACGTGCTGTGATGAGAGGACGTGACCGGCGCTTGGGTCGAGACCGGTAAACTGCTGCTCGTCATACTTGGCGTCGTCGAGCTGCTACTGCTCGCGGGAGTCTTGTGACTCTTGCTTGACTTAGCTGTTCCAGAACAGAGACATTTCAAATTTTCAAATTCTGCAGAAATTCTAATCTCGTTCCAATACGAAAAATAAATTAGATTCCGTTGAAAACGCGCACATAACTATCACAAACTTCTTTTCAGAAACTTTTCAGAAAATTTTTAAAATAGAATTTCAATCGATATCTCGAGTAATAAGAAGCGTTTATATTATATTTAGAATATCTTATCCTTTTACAGATAAAGAAAAGAGAGAGAGATACTTACACTTACTGGACTTGTGGGACGACAAGGACGGGGGATTAAGTAGCGAGGCAGGATATGGTGGCAGGAGGCTCTCGGCGCCAGGCGGAAATCCGGGCAATCCTGCCGCTCCTTGTAACCTCGCGAGGTAGTCCTGTGCCGCTAAGTGTGAGGCCATCGTCCACCATGCTGCACTCGCGGGATTGATACCTGGATTCGAAATTCGAATATAATAATAATTATAAGTTATTCGAAATCTCCGCATCCAACGAGCATAGACGAATAACATACGGTATACACGTATAACAACGAAATTATTGTACCTAAA